CTGTTTCTGAGGTTGCGTAATCTAGAAGTTATAGCACGAGCAATGCCACGCTTTTGACTTATGCTCACTTACTTCCCTTGCATCTCCTAGGCCACAAGACAGCAGTGGAAGGACAGGAATTTGGAAGGTGAGTATTACTTTTGAATCACTACAAACAGATCCTTTTGCTGGAATGGACAAAGGATGATTACAACCTTAGCTTGAACTCTCTCTCTGATAAGAGATGAAAATCTAAGGTCTGAGCTATTCCTTTTAAGAACTGTTATACTTCAGTTTTGTTACTGCAGCATGTAACTCTGTATTTTGCTTGACAGGATAAGGAGCTGTGAGCTTTTGGCAAATTTCTAGTACAAGACATGCTCACAAGACTGTCAAACACCTGTGGATTGTGGATTTCTAATCAATAAATATTGCTGTATGAAATTGCCCTGTATGATGACTGTTTTTCAGGTGTCTGGTAAAGAATAGTTTTAAACGCTATAAAACTAGACTCTTCCAGAGGATTCTTATCACACCATTCCACTGTAAAGTTCAGGAGCAGTGTTGTTTGTTTTAGATCCTAGTTCTTCATGCTAACACTATTAAAAGTAAATTTTAAAGTGGTCAATTTGGTCACATTTTAATCTGAAAGGTCATGTTCTCTAGCCTCTGCTAGGGGGCAGGCAGCTGGTACCATTTTCTTAGTGATAAGGGAGATGAATACTAGCATGAAGTGTACCAAATAGCAGTAGCTTCTAACTCTCAAATATCGGTAGTTTCTTTGCTTTGAAAATTTTTAAGCAAACATGTTGCAGTCCACCCATTATTACACACAGGTGTCCTGCTGCTGGGGACAGGATAAAGTTTTTTGGGGTGGGATTTTTTCAGGATCCCCTAAACAAATTTTGGGTCAGTATTGTTCCCTACAAATGAACGTGAGCAGCCATTTATCACTTTCCTACACTTACCTTTTGAAATACTATACCTCATTGTGTCTGTTGAAAGCCTAAAGGGGCTGTCATAGCCAGTGGTTTTTGTGTGTGTGTGGGTGTTTGGTTTTTTTGGGGCTGCTAAAGAATGGGGGACTACATTCTGAAATGGTGAGCTGGCCCTTTTCAGTGGGCCAAACCAAAGTTTCCATTTATCCCATGTGTGAATTGGAGTAGTACCAGTTTAAATGTACAGTTAAGATGGTCTGAATTGGGTATCTGTATCCAAGATCTGACTTTGTCCTCCTGGCCGGAGTCCACATACCTAATGACTCACTTGAGCTTCTAGACTGCTCTGGCTGCAATTCCAGCTCCTTAGGAAGAAGGCAAAAAGATGACACAAGATAACATCCATTCCTCTCCTCCAGTGGACACATTTAGGTCAGTGGGCTGTGGTGGGGTGGTGTGATGCTCAAAAGGACAAGGAGTAAGATTTTTGGAGTGCAGCTAGTTCTTAACAGTCATGTCCCTAGCAGTAATCTCGATCTCTGGAAGAAACAAAAGGAAAGAGCTCTAAATTTTATGTAAGCAGTCTGACTGAACACCTACCACAGGCTGCTTTATTCTGGAGCCAAAGGCTTAAGTGGCAACACTCCTGTCTGCCTTGTGGACTTGAGGTGTTACCCAGCATTGTTGTCAGGTAGTCATGGTCTTTCCTGCTCTTGTCCAGTAGGCCCAGGGCTGCTCCTTACTACCTATTTGTGTGGTAGGTGTGTTTTCTTGTGTCTTCTCCCCAGTCTCCAAAGGCAGGCCAGAAGATCTGCTGTGCATGAGGCAACAGGCCCAAGGCTACCCCTTTGAGCTAAAAACTCAACATACTAATGCAACCTGACCAGAAAAATATTTAAGCAAATGGCTGTGGTTCCCTTTATTATTCTCCCACTGTTGCAGATAACTGTCCTGCTGCTGAGAGTAGGATTGTCAGCAATCCTAGAGAGTAGCCCTCTTTGATCTCTACTGCTATGCATCTATCTAGATCTCATTTTTGTCCCTTCCCCATAGCTGGGCTGTTCTCTCTCAGTGATCACTTTGGGGATGGAGAAACCAGCAGGAATCTTTGCACAAGGAGTGCAGTTGAGACATGCTAGTTCACAAGAACCTTGTGTTTAAAAGCAAACCACTTACATGTTGGTGTAAGAGCCCTTGTCTTTCTCCTTTTCTGCCATGTAGGTTCATTTGTTCCAGGCCTATTTCTGTGTTCTTACCAGTAAGCTCTACCCTACCACTTTCCTTCTGCTGGAGCCTCTGTTAGGCAAAGCATAGGATTCTGGTTGCACCCTCCACCTTTTGCTGTCATTGATTATCTCCCACCTGCCAAACAAAAACCACCTGGTGCATCATGATTTCTGACCTGCTGGCCTTACTGCTGGCTTCCCTGCAGCCACCTCACTAGTGCATGACAAAAGGTCCCAGCAGAGACCTGTGACAGGCAATAGGAACAGGGTGTGTACCTTAGTCTCCATTTTAAAGGAAGGGCAGGCTAGGCAGCAACATCAAGGCTTCTAGTAGATTTATGGGAGTCTGATGGCTAAAAGTAACTGGATTATCAGAGTAAAATATAAGATACCCACTATTCTTAATTTCTGTGGGGTGGCCTATTTTCTGAAGATGCAAGAATGTCAGGTGTACAAGTCTGCTAAGGTCTGAGTGCAGTTAGACCTACCCACACCCTCAGAGGCTGTGGAGGGGAGACAAAGCCTCAGTTTTTCTTAAGTCAGCCATTCCATTATGGTTAACTTAAGCAAAAAGAGAGAATGTAAAACCTGGGTGACTGTGGCTGTAAGATAAGGGTATCTCCTACAGAAAAATGGCTAATGGGGTTAAGCTGATAACAAAGTTCAGCTAGAACCAATCTGAGTACTCTGGTTTTACATCAGTTACCAAGAATTAGCTCCACTCAGAGACTGAGGATAAGAGATGTGGCTTAAAATGAAAGCACTGCAGTTTCCTTTTGTGAAAGTCTCCTAAAATCCAGAGGAAGGGCCTGCATACATGCGTGCATATACGCAAACATGCACTACCTTTTCCTTTAAAAAAAAAAAAAAAATCTGTCTAATTATGACAGTCCTCTGCCTTCTCAGAGCACCCAAAACAAGTAGTAGGCAGAGTGCTATGGCCATGACACTAGGTGTAGTTTACTGAATTTGGTTCAGTATTTGTTAATCATACATGCTGCTCTCAAGGAAGCTAGGTGCCCCCTGCCCTCTCCCCCAAACATTAGATCTATTCTGCAACTACCTGTGCAATACATTTAGACTGACTGCATGTGGAGCCTTTAAAAGTTCCAACCAGCTATGAAGTTATTACTCCAAAATGTGTGCAGGCAACCCCTGCTTAATGCTGTTTTGCTTAGCACTGTTGTGCTATAACACTTGTTTTACATTGATACCTGATTCCACTTAGGGCTCAGTGAGTTTCATTATAATGCTCACAGGCATTGTACAGCTGCCAGCAGGCTTTACTTAATGCTATTCTGCTTAATGCTCGGTTTTTCGGAAACCAATTAAGAGCACTAAGCAGGGGGTGTCTGTAATACCTTTAGAGCTGGTTTCTATCCTGTTTTAACTTGCAACATGGGAGACCACAGCTGCTGTGCTTTTCCAGCCACCCAGGTGCACAATACACCCCTGGGGCTGTGAGTCCTGCAGCTGTGGCACAGCTGGGACTGAGAACTGCAGGGTTCTCTGGCTGCTTAGACATGGAAAAAAAACCACCCAAAAAACCTTGATGACACATGCTCTCCCCAGACTGCAGCACAGGCTCAAACTATGCATCTGTATAGATCAGGCACTTCAGTGGGGCATTTTGGTGCTTTTATGTAATAGCTGATTGAATTAGCTTCAGAATCAGTGATGCGTCTTCCGGTAAAATGCTGTTTTGTTTCATTTTTTCCCCCTACATCTGTTAGTGGGCTCAGTGCCCCAGAGAACCTCCATGACTAGAAGCCCCATCAGCAAAGGGGTTCCCAGCCATGGGAGCCTGTTTCTTGCTGGTGCTGTGGGCCCTGGGATTGGACTCCCCCTGCACCAGCTATAAGATGGTCCTTGCAGCCCTGCCTGCTCTGACAGCTGGCAGTGTGTGATCTAAGCAGAAAGGCTCTAGCAGATGGGCAGTCTGCTTCCCAAGTCTGCACTTCTAACACAGTACACATGCATTGCACTTGTTGGCTACAATAGTGGCTGTGCTGGTTGGTATTGGAGTTAGAATGTATGGCTGCTACATCCTGTCACCAGAGCTGTTACCTGGTGCTTTTCCCAGAGCTGCCATAGCACATTCAGAACTGAAGATGGAATAAATCTGAGTCTGAGAAGCTTTCATCTGTGTTACTGTTTTGCAAGCCAACCTAACAGCTGCCTGAACCTGTCTGGGGCTCCTCCACATTAGGAAACACTATCCCATATCTCCCTTCCTTCTTGAGGTTTAAAGAGAAAATCCTACTTTATTTACAAGTGAAGTCAGAAGTAGGAATCTCTCAAACACCACGATCACAGGCCCCCTGACAGGCTCACTTTCCATTACAAGGGTGATTAATCCTCTGCGACACAAGGGCTGCACATAGTCATATCCAGTTACATTAACTTTTAAAGATAAAAGAATAATTGACAAGCTGTTTGCATGCTTATACTGCTCCTCAATAAACCAGCAGGCACTGTTGCATGCCTGGCAGTACTTTGTGTGGTTGATTGGTTTGATCCTTGGTCTGCAGATAAGGGAAAAGACTAGTATGAGACCATGCTGAAGACCCTCTGTAGATGATATGCAGCTCTCAGTCCAGGACAGTTCTGTTCTCTTCTAAAACAGGAAGGTTGGTAATGCACAGTTGACCATGATGTGATGAGACTGATTCTTAGCAATTCAGGTGATTTTAAAAAGAAACCAGACACGTGATCTTTTCTGGCTGGGAGTGCGCATACTCTCATGAGGGACATTTCAGAGAAATGCACCCCCTAAGGCTAAGCCCAACACTACACTGTATGCAAGGGCTCCCACCCTTCCCCATTGTGCTATGTCAGAGAGAAAATACACAGTTTGGTCTTTTATCCATTTTTACTCCCTCCACTGCTGTCCCCAAAAGAGCAGTCACTATTGCAAGTAGTGCCCTCATATCGTTTCTTTCACTTCTAGAACATCAATGCGAAAACAACTGGTATATACCTTAGACCAGTTGATGTTTCTGCACTAAGTTTTGGCAGTTGGAAGATAAGAGTGGAAATAATCCCAGTAGTTTGAACAGCCTCAAATCACTGGCACTGAATCAGTTTTTTTTTGCTGCTACTTCTGCCACAGGCCACGCAACCCGGATATGGTATGGCTCTAGTTCTTCTGGAGCGATCTGGTCTGGAGCACTTCCCATAAGATCATATCCCTTGAAGGATTTGGGGAAAGCTATGACATCTCGGATACTTGGAGCTCCAACGATGAGACAGATCAACCTGTCAAGTCCTAAAAGTAGGCAACAGAATAGGTTACTTGCATGTTTTCTTTGGCAGGCAGGTACTGAACAGGTATAGTATAGACACATTGGAGGGACCTGGGGAACAAAAGTAATTAGGCAAGTAGAGGAACTGGTTTGTATGGAAAGATCAAGGGTGATATGCAAGTTTTAGTTTAAAATCTACCCCCAAACTTGCAAGTTTTTAAGAGGAAAATGCTACATAGTCATTGTATAGTGAACAAATCACACTGAATTCAAAGCATTTTTTATTTAATTCCCACATTTTTGCAAGCTTCCTGCCTTGTTTTGTTTTTTCCTGGCAGAAGATGTGACATCGTAACCACCCCAGAGAAGAAAGGAAGCTCACAGCTTGGATTTTTCAGCAACTTTACTACTCTCACCTCTCCGGAGTTTTAAGAACATGCTCTTAAATGTTTAGAGCCTCTCCCAATTCACCCCACAGAGCTAAATATACATAAGTTTGATGCAGCAACAGCCATGTAAGAATTAAAAATCTAAGAGGGTGAGACAATTTACAGACATAAAATGGGTGGAAACAAGAAGGGAGAGGCTTGAGTGGCAAAAAGGATCAATGGGATGACATTAATATGAGGGATTTAGGATTAAATTCTGCGCTGACATGATCCAGGAAACAGGAACTGAGTCATTGCTCGGAACATTTTAAGACATGCTGCACAAACCTTATAGACATGCAGTTGTAGGGAAACGATTCTGGGACAATGGAAAAGATGACCAGTTTCTATGAGCATGCTATTTTGAGGGCCATGGTCAAGAATCACTCTCAGAAACCACTTGCCCAAGCCCAACTCTGAGATAAGGACTGTAAGAAATACATCAGTACATCTGGGGCTGGGTGGTCAGAAAACTGCCCTCCTCCTCATATACCAGCTGTTGACCTGGGAGCACTGTTCATGCCTCTCTGGTGTTACCAGGTTAAGAGCTGCTAAGGATTCAGCTCCTGTCTGTAAGCTGCAGGCTGGATGAAGAGAGAGAAAGTGCCTCAGGTTCAGATAAGCATGAAATAACTAGAATGGCAATTTCCATCTGACAGGCAGGGCAGGGTTAGCCTCTCATCATTTAGTTTTTTCCTCTGATTTGGGAATAGACATGCCAAAGGAAAGTATCACTACTATGGCTGCTTGAGGAAATGTATCAGATAGGGATTGGCTCTAATGCACTTACCTAAAGCAATTCCTCCATGCGGGGGTGCTCCACATGCCAAAGCCTCAAGCAGGTGAGAAAGCAGCTCAGGGTCCTCCTGGAATGTGATGGGAAAAGGGTCCTTCTCAGGAGCAGGCACTTTTTATTAGCAGGGAGGAGGTGGTTGGTTTGGCAACCATTAATCCTTCCAGTTTGTGGTGTATGTGTGGGAGGTAACCCAGACCTTCAATGTTTTTGCCTAGGCAGGACTAAGGAGGAGTGGAGGCTGCCCAGACCTTCCACCCCCACTTTAGGCCATTGAGACAGAATCCAAATGCTAGACTAAGTCAAGACATTTGGTGCCTCCATGGCTGTTGTTGTATAAACATCTAGGAACTGAACCTAGATGTCCTGTGTGGTAGACAAGGATTCTACCACTGCACCACAGGGGACTCCAGTGAGGATAGAGATGGAGGAGGAAGGCTAAGTCAACCACCTTTCAGTGTGAGAGTCCCATGTCATTAGCTGCAGTACTGTGGGGCAATATTCACTTGCTACCTCTATTTCTAACAAAATGGAGCTGCCTCATGATGCCTAACAAAGCACCCTGTAATCCCAAGTAGTAACTGTCCCCCTCCAGGACAGCTGTCACATGCATTGTTTACTATATGGCACTATTTTAAAATGCAGCACTAATTTTAATTCTACACTGGAAACAAATCAAACAATTATTCACTCAATGTTCTTGTTACATTTAATAATCACAATCCATAATGACACACTGGGAATTAAAGAATGATTCTGTAACCCAGTAAAAAGTGGCTCACTTTAACTGAAATGGAGGCTACACTGTACAGGAACGAGAAACCAGGAAAACATTTCTCTCTGTGAGAACTCCAGGACTTCCACGCCTCACCAGGGAAAAGGTGGAACTAACATGCCACCCCCAATCAAGCTGAGATCTGGGAGGTAGTGTAGCCTACTGGATAAAGCATTTGTTTGGAACTCAGGAAACCCAGGCTCTACCACAGACCTGCTGGGTGACCTTGGGCAAGTCACTTGCCCTTTCTGTGACCCAGCTTTCCCACTGATGCATGACAGGCACTTTAAAATCTACAGAAGAAAAGCACTGCATAGGAGCTAGGCACTACTATCATGTTCACAAGTGCTCTCAGGAGCCAAGGATATTCTTGAGTTATGTACACATAGAGATGACATTTACAGGTATGACTACCAAAAAGCATTAGCAAGAGCAAGATCCATAGGCCCCTATCCCTTTATATTTCTACAACTGATATTTTAAGTGCGTGGAATTTAAAAATCCCAAGAGAGCCGAGAAAGCTTTTGCAGGCTGTTACCTTCAGCACTTTCTCCAGAACAAAACGCTGCTGCTGTGCATTGTGAATTCGGATGGAGCCACCTCCAATCTCACTGCCATTCAGCACCAGGTCATAGTGCTGGCTACGGACCTGAGAAGAAAGGAGAACAAACTGAACAAGTGCATTAGCACAGCAGAGCTGCACTTTTCTGTACTCAGATCCATTGTCAAACAGATTGCAAACAAGCAATTGTTGAAGAATAAGATGCTGAAACTTTGCTTTATCAGTGCATTCTCAGGCATTTTGCAGGAGTCTGACAAAAGGCTTAAAGAACTAAACAGTAAAACTTTCCCCATAGAATTCCGCTGGGTGTATCAGATTTTGTGCTTCGGCAAATGATGGACTGTTGATCTGGTTCAAAGCCATCTATACTCAACAGGAAGACAAATTTATTTCTATGGGCTTTGGCATCAGGTCCCAAAAGCACTGCACAAAGCCAGCCATAATGTAAGCATCTCCCCAACACATCTCTTCCAGTGCCTCTGCTCCTGATGTGCTATGCCCCTTGTCGTTCCACTCCAGGGAACCATGCACAGCTGTGCATGCCTTCACTCCTGACTGGTGACATGCTCAGTAAGCAATCTTCTCCTTCAAATTGTATCATGGGTCAGACAAGCACAAGCTAAAGACTCTTATAACCACTGTTTACAGCTCTTTTCATTGTATCTATTCGTATGAAAGATTTTAGGGTAGGGATAAGCACACCAAATTAAAGCCATTTCTGCTGCTATGATCCCAAATAAATATCTGCTTGTTATGCAAGTCTGCCTATGGTACGCAATGCTGAAAATAACTCAGAACCCTCTCTTTTCGCCCTGGGGCATAATAAACCATTGCATTGTCCCTGTAAATCCCCCTTATACCTCAAAAACTCCCACGCACCCAGCTTGCAATCTAAGTGTGTCCCCTTAAGCTGAAACAGATTGATTTAGTAAGTGCTCCAATCCTTGGCATACTGCAGATGAAGCTGAACCCATCCTCAGTGACTCCAGGGGAAAAACCAGGCCAGCTGACTTCCAGTAGCCACCTGAAGCAAGTATTTCCCATTAACCCAGTGGAGATAAATTAGCCTTGAGGGTGACACATACTTTGGTGTTTATTAGCTTGGGGTAACCTTAAATGCATCTCTTCTGAACTGGTATGTAGTTTAGACCCCTTGATACAATAGCTATGACTACACCTTACCCACTGTTTCAGGAAATTTCCACATAGAAAACTAGGCCAATGTGAAGGGTCTAGTTACCTTTGTGGGCTCAGAGTAGAGGAGGCTGATGTCAGATGGGTGGGGAGCTGTGAAGGGGTGGTGAGCAGATTCCAGTTCTGCAGGCTTCTCTTCCTTGGGAAGGAACAGGGGGAAATCCACCACCCACAGGAAGTGGAAAGCAGTGGGATCCCGGAGCACTAGTCCTGTTGCCTCCAGAAGGGTAGCACTCTCCAGGCGCAGATTTCCTAATACAGAGCACTGCCAACCAGATAGAAAAAAGAATCCAGTTCAATGACATGACCAGAAAGGTTTACTAAGGGCCCCATTGTTCCTGGAGCAGGGAATCTGCTTTCCAGGGACAGCATTATGTGCAGAAACCATCATGTCTGTTTCACTGTATATTTGCAATAGCCATCTTTCAAAGTACTGGTTCACCTCTTGTTAACACAGCCAATGTTAGTACTCAGAATTTCAGCTGCTGTAAAAGAGTGGTCCAGGGGGTGCTAGAAACTGTGTACCTAAACACTCTGTTCTCACAGGGCCAATGACATAGGTGAGCAGTGAGGCACAGTATAAAAACACCACAAAATATTCTGCACCTCACAGCATCTCTCATGCCCTGGTCTCAAGGCAGTTTATAGACTTTAATGATTTCTCATAACAACCATGCAACATTATCCACATTTTACACAGTCAGAAACACAGGTGGAGTGAGAGTCACTGTTACAGAAAAAGTCAATGGTAAAGCCAGAAATACAATCCTACATTAATTCACAGCTTCCTGGTTTTAATAATTAGATACCACCGTGTCCCTGATCAGCCTCTGCTAGAACTCTAAGCACTGTTTCTAAAGTGCATTTGAATCAAGAACTGCCCGTCTTGAAGTGCAAGGGACAGGGTCCCCAGGTGACAGGGTCCATCAGTCAACTGACCTCCATTATGCTGATTTACATCAGCTGAGGATATCACCCCAAGAACAGACTATGAATTTCTTGGGGTTTCACCACTATGCCAGGTACGTGTTCTGTTGTAAAAACTTTCTTTGGGCTCAGCAAGATAAGCATTGCAGTCCCAGTTGCAACAGTGATCTGATCAACGAAGTGTCAAGCTCATTTAAAGCCACGTTACCATAAGCCATCCAGGCTTTAAGGAAAAAGCTAGAACAGGGATCCCATGGGTGTGGGATTCTGAATTCACAACCTGATCTAGAGAAAAGAATGGTCCCTCTCTTTGGGTTCATGCCTCATGATTCTGGAAAGTAGAAGGAACCTGAATAGACAAACACCTTGTTAGCTGCTGCTGCTTGCTTGGAAGGCTGCATATCTCTGAGTAGGGTGCAGAAAAGGCCCAGAATATCCAGCTTTACTTAGCAGCTCTATCAGAAACTAGAGGTACAATTTGGGACAGGTCACCTAATCTCATTGTGTTCCCCATCACCGCATGTAAAATGGGGTATTGTGAGACTTCATTCATAAACCTCTGCATCCTAAGCTGGAGGGAATTGGAGAGGCCAGGTATTGTGAATATAACCAGTGATGTTCAGTTCCAAGACAAGGAATTTCCCTACCGCTTTCTTGTGTTCTCCAGCTGCCAGCAGCACTACATCATCCACCTGAATGTTCAGGGCTCTGATGAGTTCTGACTGCTGCTCCCTGTTGAGAAATTTACTCATTGGAGACTTCAGGCTCCCATCAGATCCCAGGACCAAGTGTAAAACTTCCTACAACAAGAGACAGGCACAAATACGAAGTAGGTTAATTGCCTGTTATACATTCCCATGAGAGATGCAGTGCAGAGTCAAAAGCTGTCTTAAAGTAGGAAGTGCCTTTTAAAAACCTTCCACATCAGATGTCTTCCTTCTTATAAACCTCCTTCAAATATTTACCATTTCGTTTATGAGTGTTCAAGGGCAGAGTAGAGACACATAGAACCACTATGCAATAAACACAGTTGTCAGACTTTTTATTGTCAGAGGCCAACACTACCTCTAGTGACATAAATTTTCATACATATGGGTACAGAATTTAATCAACTGTTCTGTCTTGTAGCTGCTTGTAAATTCCCTGTATTACTTTAGATACAGTTGCTACCCGCCCCTTTCAAATGAATTCTTTACATTATACACATGGTTGTGACTTACCTGATTAAACCGGGATTTTGCAGTTTCCTTTAAAGACTCAAGATCTTTATTTTGAAGACATCTCTGGGGAAAAAGAATGACCAAGATCTTAAAAAGGAGTTATATCTACTCCTGCATACAGCTCTTGATTTTAAAGCTACTCTGGTTTTAAAATGTTCAACATTCCAGTTTTGCATGTGTTTTAGTATATAAAGCAGTGCCACTTACTGGTGTGCCATCAATTTGCACCTTTCACTGTTACACTTGCAACAGCTAGTGAGAAACAGGCCAGAGCATCCTATTCCACAATTCAAAATTGGGTCTTTAGGATTTCTTCAGGTACACTGCATCTGTTACAACAGTGTCAAGAGACAAACCAGTATCCACCAGCTTTCGCACCACCCAGCATGTATTTTATTGGACAAGTTTATTTTATTCCTGTATGAAAAACAACCCTCACAGCACTGTAATCACATCACAACTTTTCATTTCTTATATAATTGTGATATAAGCATTTTTGTTGTAAAATAATGTCCTGAACCATTTAGGGTACGTATTGTGTTGAGTACTCACCAGCCCTGGAAGGAACAATACTGAACATGAACCTGTTTCAGAATCCAATTCATTATCCAGATGCAAAACACAGCAGCTCTCACCTAACCAAAGCTAGCTATAGACTTCACAGATCTTTCCCTGCTCTTCTCCAACCTTAAAGCTCTGGCCACCCTTTGGCTGCCTTCCTAAAGTGAATGTGTCACCTACTGTCCAACCCCACAGTCTCAGATGGGAGGCAGCTCATCAGTCACAGGTAGCAGTGGGCCACACAACTTTCAAAAGGGGCTAGTTACGCTGCGGCAGGAGCAAGGTTATTACTGAATGATGATAAATTCAAATCAGTAGAACTCATTCATTTCTAAACATTTATCTTCTTTGCACTGAGCTTTACATACAAACACATCACTTACCACCCCCTGAGGAACACAAATGGCTTTGACGGTGCCTTGGGGCTTCCTGAGAACATTCTGAATTAATCCAA